TACTTCAAAATGTAGGGATGAGCCGCGCCCACTCCATGAGGGGGCGGCGGGAATCCCTCTGGACAGTCCCCGGCTCCACATCCTGGCTTCGGTCCGAGCCCCGCTGACGGAAATCGGGTTGGAACCGGCTGGCCGAGAGAAATCAGGCAAGCTTCGCACTGGAAAGCGCTTCCAACGCAACACGACGTAAGACAACACAACACAACAAGGCACAGAGAGACGCCTAAGTGGGTTTCTCGGTAGCGCTCCACAACGCAGCGGTTTGAGAGGCCACCCCCCCAAAGAGGCTGCCCCTTGAGCCTCTGCATGAGTCACTGTTCTGGCGCTGCCTCCTGCGAAATAATCTCATCAGACGTTCGGCAGCAGTGTGGTTGTGCAGACCAGGCGACGGAAATACTCTGTTCTCAGAGAGTTCCCGTTGCATCTCTGCATGAGTCCCCCACTCTGGGCTCCTTCCAAGCAGCATGGGTCAGGGGGAGACTAATTCTGCCCTGGCTTCCTCCTCTTTGTGGTTCGATCATTCAATTACACCCCCCTCCCCCAGAAGACACTACCTGTTGCATCTCTGCATGAGTCCCAGCGGTGCACTCCAGCAAAGGCTACCGACCGACTGCTAGGCCTGAGTCGGTACTCTGGATTCCAGGGGAAGCCTTGTCTGCTGAGTCTCTGCATTTTTAAAATTGTAATTCAGCAGAGTTAAAATAGCTTAGCAATGCCAGAGTAAAATAATCAGACTCAGAGTCCATGTGTGTTTAAAATAGAACGTTTTTACTACAACCTAGCATAGGGAAAGGGTAGCTGGGATGAAAATAACAACACAGCTAAATAGCTACATCCTCACTCTACAAAGGCGCTGGGTTCAAGAACTCCTGCTGAACCAGGAGATGGGCGGTTCTTAGTGGGAAGCGAACTGTTTCTGGTGGTTGTTTTTCGGGCTGGCGGACAGAGGGGTGCCTCCGGGTCTAGTTCAGAACGGAAATATTCTGCAGTGGAATGCTTCGGCTCCGCACACCCCATAGTGCCTATAGGGGCGTCAGGACTCCTGTCTCTGGGTGTAAAAAGATACTGTGAGGGGTAAGAGACGGAGAGACCCCTCCCAACGTTCTGATGTTACCGCTAATCTCCCCCCCACACACACACGTACACAAGCTTGTTGCATTCTCCTCTTCCCTTCTTTTGTATGTAATACGACCCACGAGGGCGCTGATGTGAAGCGCCATAGAGTTTGCCTCAGTGGATCCAGCCCAAAGAGGCCCATCGAACCGGGCATCCTGTTCCCGCAGCAGCCGGCCCGGCCGGAGAAGTCTGGGAAGCCGGCCGAGTGGCCCGCAGACTCCCGCCCCCTTCCGCCCCCAGCATCAGACGACCAACGGTACACTGCCTCTGAACGGCGAGGTTCCACGAAGCGACCTCTAATGGCAATTCCTGGCGTTCGCGTCCTCCAGGAATTCGTGCCAGACGTGCACGCACACGCACGCCCCCAAACAGACGACTCGCAAATACCTCTAAGCTGAGTTCGTGTGAGCTAACTCACAGGGTTTTTTAGCCTCCGGCTCACACATTTTTGTCTTCGCTCCGGATGGAAGAGACGGCTCCAGAGCAAACTGGTTGATGCAGCAGCCAGATCGCTCGCTTACCCACTTGATACGTTTAGATTAGAACCTCATCCAGGGCCGGCTCACTCACTAGGCGAACTAGGCGATCGCCTAGAGTGGGCCGGCCCTTAGGGGCACCAAACTGCACCCGGCCCCGTACTCTGGGAGTTTCTTGATTATTTGTGTTTTTCATTCTTCCTAAAATGCATTTATTTTTTTTAATTGGTGGGTGCGCCGGTGGGGGGGGGGCGCCAGAAGGGATCCCCACCTAGGGTGCAAAATAAACTGGGGCTGGCCCTGATCTCATCTACCATTTCAATGCGTTTGAAAAAAGCGTGCCTTGCACCGGAAAGCTCACCCCTTGAATAAACCTTCGTTGGTCTTCAAGGTGCCCCCGGACTCCACATTTCTTCTGCTGCTTCAGACCAACACGGCTGACCACCAGGATCCAACTTTAATGCCAGGAGCTCGCAACGCAGCATTTTTGCGCACAAGACTCCACAGCTGCGAAGGGAGACTTGCTTGCGATAGGGGCTCAGCGGCTCCCGCGCGGTGCTTTACAAAAATCACCCTTGGCCCACGAAAGGAACGGTAATGAAAACAGAGAAAGGAAATGAGATAATCGAGGAGCAGGCTGAAAGGGGAGAGACGGGCACCTCGCCGCACCCCACTCCCCGGCTCTAGGGGGATGCCTTGCTGAGGGCGCTCACTTGTTCCAGGTCGCAATTCAAAATCCATCTTGGAAGCTTCTAGAACAATGACCTGAAGTGTTCCTTTTTTCTCCCGGACTCACTGTTGGGACGATTTCAGAGAGATAATGCACACCAGCTGATTATTCGTATTATTATTACTGCGGCGGCGCTTGCCTCTGTAGTAGTACTACTACTAGCGGTAGTAATAGTAACGATATTAGCAGCAGTAGTGCTAGAAAGGGCAGTAGTGTTAATACGAACAGTGGCAATAATACAATACTAGCAGTAGTAGTGATAATACTAATAGCAGCAGTAATACTAATTAGCAGTAATACTGATATTTAAGTAGTAGTAGCAGCAGCAGCAGAAGAAGTAGAAGCAGTCGCTTTTGTGGATTGCTGCTGTGGGTTAAAATCCGCCTTTGTGAGCACCCTGAACGTAGCTTTAAAGGCGCCTGCTTTGACTCCATTCACACCTCTTTCGCCCACAAAGCCAAAGACCTGCACCCTTTCTGACATTGCCTTCTTCCTGCGTGTTCCCTTCATCTAAGGCTCTCCCGCCTCCGACAACAATTCTGGCGCCTATTCGGCCAGGATTGTAGACTCTCGTGCACCAGATTCCTGGGGGGGGGGGGATAAAAATCTGACGCCTTCCACAAACTCTAGTGTTGACACTACACATCATTCACACATTCAGCCTGGGAGCCCGCGTCGATCCGTTCGCACACGGAGAGAGCCGAGGCGTGGGAGGCAGGGCCCATTTTATCCGCCTGTCACAATTCGGGGTTTTTTTATTTATTTATTTATTTATTTTTGCTACCTTTACCCCCATCAATCTACACGGGGAAGGGTAAAGAACCCCACCGACGACCCCTCTGGAACCACCCTTGTGAATAACAACCACAAGGTTATTGAAAAGTAATTTAGAAGGCCAGCTAGCCAGGTCAGATTCAGACAGACAGGCAGGAAGGCAGGCAGGTGGGCTGGAGGGACAGACAGACGGACAGGTAGGTAGGACGGGATGACATACATACATACATACATACAGACAGACAGACAGACGGTAGATAGATAGATAGATAGATAGATAGATAGATAGATAGATAGATAGATAGATAGAACATTCTTAAAATCAGAATAAGGCTGCCTTTCTATCCACACTTACTCGGAAACAAGTCAACAGGCTTGGAATGAGACGTTTCTTCCGCGCAGCCCTTTTTAATTGTCAGTTTCCTTTGCGCTGGGCCCGATCCAGCGCCCCCCCCCCCCAGCACCTTTGGAACTCCTTCCCTCTCGGCAAGAGATGTTTAAGCGGCTGCTGAAATCCGCTACAGAATTTAGCATGCTTAAAAGAAAAAAAAATCAACAGCCACCGGCACTCCCTATCGTGTTATTCCGATGATGACGACGCTTTGTGTTGGGTATTACAAGTTGAAAACACTCAGTATATCTGGGGTTACATGTTTGTTTATGTTACTCACAGGAAGTCACATGTTTCTCATGTAGCCAGTGTTCTTTAGATGTAGAAAGCCCGGGAATTTTCTCCCTGATCTGGAATTTGATTGGGACTAAAGTGTCAAGGTGTATTAGCATTTTATGGCTCTCTTCCCGTCTTTGTTTGGTGTTCTGAAGAAGAAGAGAAGCCATCACTCTCTTCTAGTTTTGTCTTTGTAGAGTACTGATGTAGCCGATTATGCTCTGTTGTTATTTTCATCCCAGTTACCCTTCCCATGCTAGTATTTAGTAAAAACTTTATATTTTAATCACACACATGGACTTTCAGTCTGAATTATTTTACTCTGGCTCTGCTGGACTATCTTATCTCTGCTAAATACCATTTTTTAAATATCCCACTATCACCCAACACTTTGTTTTAACACACACACCCCTACACACACACACACAATGCCTACACACCAAGTATTTTGTTTCCCTTCATATTGGCCTGGGAGAGCGGACCAGGTAGGTGGCACCAGGCAAGGGGACCAGAAGACAAGCCCCGAAGAGCTTCCAGTTCAGAGGTAAAGGGGGGGTGGGTGGGGGAGAGGCAGAGGCCAGAAAGAAGAAGGAGATGGGGAAGATTATTATTATTTTTTTAATCCCAGATAATGAAGTCCTCTCCCTGTCTGTATCTTTCTTTCTCCGTCGGTTCTAATGGGGTTCTGAAAAATCGATTTGCACACCTCGAAGAGAGAGAGAGAGAGAGAGAGAGAGAGAGAGAGAGAGAGAGAGAGAGACACTCTAACAAGCCAATGCTTCGGCCTCGGCCCTCCTCGGAGAAATGGATTCTAAGCCTGGTCCCCGCCTCCCCAATGCCAGCGGGGCTACAATCAATACAAAAATAGTTTATTTCCACACAGCCTTATCCACGCAGCTTGGGGGGGGGGAGAGAGAAGGCCACTCTGTCGCTCAGAGGTCTGTCCTGCAAGCACACACGCGTGTTCCACGGTCACGTCTGTAGGCCGTCTCACTGCTGTCTTTACCTCCGCCAGCCTGATCATTCGTATTTTACCACATTAGAAAACCGCTCTGGGTCGTTGTGTTTTTTTAAAAAACAAAAATAAAAAACACAAGGTTGTGCCCTTTTACCATTTTGAGCCGCCCCCCCTCTTTTTTTTTGCAGTGTAAACTGCGCCCAGGCCGGGCATCCCGAGAGAAAACGCTGCGGTTTTGTTCGTTCGTTCGTTCGTTCACTCCTTCGTTTGTTCATTCGCTCATTCGTTTGAAATATGCAACTGAAAGGCCGAAGGCAGGTTGATCATCCCATCAAGGGTTCGGAGAGGAGGCGCTTTCTTCTCTGCAGAGTATCGGAGGCAGGTTGGTGGCTCAAACCGAGGTATGACTGGATAGCATTTCGGAGGAACCGAATTCGGATTAAACAGAATCTCTTCCACCACCCCCTCCAGTTTCTTAAAAGATTCAGACCGGCTCCCTCCCCCTGAGAAGGCGGCCTTTGGCCGAGCCGGCCTGCCCCCCCCCCTCGCACGCAAGCAAAAGCGTTGCCTTGGTTATAGATCATTGATCGGCGCCGCCATTTGTAAAATGAAGGAGCTATACTATCGATCCGCCTCGGAGGCAGCGAGGGGAGGGGAGGGGGAGGCGGGGTGGGAGGTCAGCTGGATCAGCTGGGTTCGGACTGTTCAGCAACATCCAGGCCTGGAAAACCGGCGGGGGGGGGAGAGGAGCTGCGTTTTGTAAGAGAAGTGGCCCAACCGGACCTCCACCTCGGGGTGTGTTGGGTGGGGGTGGCATATTCGTGGGGAGGGGAAGAAACGGGAAGGGAAAGGTTCTCAAAGGACGAGAGAGAGAGAGGGAGACGGAAGGGAAAGGGGAAGAGAGAGAGAGAGAGAGAGAGGGCAGGAGGGAGGGAGGGGGGACGCAGGCACAGGGAAAAGGAAGGAAAGAAGGAAGGAAGGAAGCAGGCACAGGGAAAAGGAAGGAAAGAAGGAAGGAAGGAAGCAGGCACAGGGAGAAGTAAGGAAGGAAGGAAGGAAGGAAGGAAGGAAGGAAGGAAGGAAGGAAGGAAGGAAGGAAGGAAGGAAGGAAGGAGGCACAGGGAAAAGGAAGGAAGACACTGGGAAAAGACAGACAGACAGACAGACAGAAAGAAAGAAAGACTTCCCAACACATCAGGCTGACGGCCCCCCCCCCCTCTCTCTCTCTCACACACACACACACACAATATTTTGGGATCACCCCAGGGCAGTGGAGATCCTTGCAAAAGAGAAGGGGAGGCGCTCTTTTCCTGCAACCCTTGGAGCCGTGAATGGCGACATTTCCAGGCCTGGAAGCCGCCGCCGACCTCTGAATCCCGCTCGGGAGTTCCCAGGAAGCCTTTTGGCGACAAGATGCCGGAACTGCCTGTTTCATTCCCTCGCTTTCTGGTTTGTTCCAGCGGAGCCCTTTTGTTCTCCTGAAGGCGGCGGGGGAGGGGGGCGGATCTGAGCCCCCACGACCTTGTCTTCCCCTCGCCGAGGCCTCCCAGAAGGGCCCCCCTCCAAAAAAAACACCCGCCCCCTCCATCCCGACACGAATTCGGGGTAGCTGCCAGGCCTTGCCCCGGTGAAGACCCGTGTTCCCTCTAAGCAGCGTTCGTGTGAGCTAGTTCACAGTTTTTTTAGCCTCTGACTCACACATTTTCGTCTTAGCTCGGGAGGGGTGGCTCCAGGGCCAACCAATTGCTGCAGGAGCCGAATCGCTCGCTCACAACTTTTTCATGCCAGCAGCTCACCAAGTAGAATTTTGGCTCACAGGACTCCACAGCTTAGAGGGAGCATTAGTGAAGACCCCCCTGTCAGAAGAGAAGAAGGCCGGCTTGGAAGACCCGCGTCCACCTCCCGGAGCCTTTCCAGCGCCCACCTGCCCGGACTGCCGCGTTCCTAACCCCGCGACCGATCCCGGAGCGCAAACGTGACCGTGCGAATGGGTTCCCCTTTAAACAATATCAGCCTGTTCCTTTCGGGCGAGAGGGTCGTCCACGGATCCCCAACGGCAAAGGAAACATAACACAAATAAACCTGACTGCTTTGAAGACAGAGGCACGGATTGGCAAAGAAGGAGACGGTAGGCGGTGTTCCCTCTAGGCCGAGTTTAGTGTGAGCTAGCTCCCAGGGGTTTTTTAGCCCCCGGCTCACGCGTTTCTGTCTTCGCCCAGGAAGGAGGCCTCCAGAGCAAACTGATCTATGCCGCAGCCACATCGCTCGCTCGCAACTTTTAATGCCGGCAGCTCGCAAAGTAGAATTTTTGCTCACAGGACGCCACGGCTTAGAGGGAGCATTGAGGCGCGCAAAGATAATACATCTTTTTAGAGACAGACACACACCCCCACCGCCCTAAATAAAAAGGATCACGATCCAGAGAGGTCAGACGGAGATGCTGCCGGGGAGGGGGAAGGTTAGATCAGGTTTACTGGTGGGTTGGCTTGTTTATTCACAGGGCTAATGAAGGGATTGAACCCGTCGGGAAAAGGGAAGAATTCGCCCTTCACGGGATGCGGTATGGGAGCGCCTGTGGTGGCCCTGAACACGCCCCCCCCCCTTGTCCCACTTTTCGACTGGAAGCCGCTGGGGGGCAGAGACCGACGCCAGACTTCCCAGGCCTGGCAATGACCTCTAGGCCCGACCTCGGCCAGAGCCGGGCCTCTGAAACCCCGCTGGGTGAAAGCGGTCCCCCCCCCTCCGACCTCTCCAGGTAGGTGAGTAGATAGAGACACGAACTAGGCGGAGGTACTGGAGGTCGACCAGGCGGCGGCAGCGAGAAGCTGCAAGGGGGCCAACGGGCCCGGAAGGGGGCTCCAGACACCGGGAGGGATGGGAAGGTTTCCCGTGTTTTTATTTGGGCCGAGAGGCGGAACACGAAGGTTTTGGATGAACCGATAAATGAACAGATAAATGTTAAAAAAAAAAAAATCCTTTCCCATGCATTTCTACGAGCCTTTTCTGATACTGGTGGTATTTTGCTTTGAGATGGCATTCAATGAATTTTTTTTTAAAAAAAAATCCTTTCTTTCTCCCAATTCCTTCCTTCCTTCCTCCCTCCCTTTCTTTGTCACGCTGGGCGAATGCATGACCTCTCTTTCTTCCTGATGTATGTTTTGTGTGTATATACTGCACATAATGTGTGTGTGCGTACGCATTCCCCCGTGGGGAAGGGGGAGAGAGAGAGATGGACTGACAGACGAAGGGACCGAAGACAGAAGAGTGTGTGTGTGTGTGTGTGTGTGTGTGTGTGAAAGAGAGAGAGAGAGAGCGAGAGAGAGAGCGAGAGAGAGCGAGCGACGGGGGGTTCCCTTCCCAGCCTTTCCCCGTACCCACAACCGCCCGCCGCTCCCTTTGTGACTTTCCCGATCTCCGGGTAGGGGCGCTGAAAGTCAGAGGGTGGAGGAAGCCGAGAGCCCGGGCGCTTCTCCGCAGCTTCCCCGGCGGCCGGCAGGGACCCCCGGGTGCGTTCCTGACAGCAGAGGGCCTCAAGTCGTCCCCCCCCCCCCGCCGCCCGGCAAAAACGACTCCGAAAGCCAACCCGGTGGTAAGAAGAAGGGGGACGAGAGATGCATTCGCGCCGACGGATGGCAGGAGCGAGGGAGGCGAGCGAGAAGGTGGAGACATCGAATAACCATCGATCGCCCCCGTCCCCGAGCAGGTGCGCGCCTGTCTCTCCATCCTCCGTCCCTCGCTCAGACTGGTCTTTCTTCTCCCCGCGCGGCGGCGGCGGCAGCGGCGGCGGGGCGGCGGCTGGACGTGTGGCAGGAACGGCCCCCCGGGCGTCCCAACCCCGAGCGTCCCGTTCACACGCGCGCCCCATCGCGGGACAGAGACGCCGCCGGGGCTCTTCCCTCGCGTCCTTCCTCGACATCCCCCTCCCAGCCCAACCATTTCCTCCGGACACCCGCCTTCCCTTCCCCTCTCCCCCCAGTCCAGGCTTGCACGTGTGAACCCGGCGACCGTGCCCGCGGGCCGCCTCCTGCCCCCTCCTCGGACAGGCGCCACAAAGCCGGCCCTTTCCTTCCCTTCTCCCCCCGCCCCTACCTGCCAGTCGGAGCGCCGACATGCGCTGGAACTCGGGCTCCTGCAGCCATTTCCACATCCTGCGGAAGGTCTCCCGGCCGGACTTGAGCTTACTCCAGGGCTTGGGGTTGCGCAGGAGGTCGGAGAGGGTGCCCTGCGAGCGGCACAGGATCCGCTGGGCGAAGATGGCCTGCGGGATGCTGTAGCGCTTCAGCTCGGCCGTGATGCGCTGCGCCACCTCCTTGGTGTTGATCTCCTCCACCTGCCCGGAGCCGCCGGCCTGAAAAAGCCCGTGGGCGGGGTGCATGCCGTTGAGGGCCGGCATCATGCCGGAGCCCGGGCCGGCCAGGCCGCGGGCCAGGTGCTCCTCGCCGCGGGAGAGCATGTGCGCCTCGAAGCCGTTGGGGGAGAGGAGCTTGTCGCCGGCCAGGTGGCCCCCGGGCCCGTAGGGGGCCAGGCTCTGCGGGCTGTTGTGCAGGGAGCCCAGGCCGTTGGAGAGGGGCGAGAGGGGCTGGCCCATGGCCGGCATCTCCTTGGGGTAGTGGCCGTAGAGGTTGCCCATGGAGGCGGCCAGGCTGCGCTGCTCCTCGCGCATGAGGGCGAAGCTGCCGCCGACGTTCCCCGAGAGGCGCTGGTGCGGGTGGTGGTGGTGGTGGTGATGGTGGTGGTGGGCGTGCGGGTGGTGGAACTTCTCCGAGACGGTGGAGATGGGCGGCAGGTGCTGGAGCGGGGTCAGCGTGGTGTAGGTGCTCATCCCGGACGGCGACTCGCAGGCCATGCTCATGGCCGGGTGCAGCGGGCCCCCCAGGCTGTGCTCCGGGCGGTACTCGCCCGCCCCGTCGAGGATGGAGGCCAGGCTGGAGACCATGGCCGGGCGGCCGTGCGACGAGACCAGGTTGCGGTGCGAGGAGGGCGGCGGCGGCGGGGGAGGG